CGAGAGCATGGCTGCAATTTGGCACAGCGAAGTTACAGACACAGTTACTCACCGATGGAAAATGAGCAAAGATGAAGGATCTGGGGGATTTCCTCAGCTTGTGGCAAAGAGGCAAACAGAATACATGAAAGATACGACACTAAAGGGACAGACTGAAGTAACCTACTAGATATCTACTCCCAATGCTGGAAGACCTCCAGGAAGAGGGCAGGCAGGAGGCAGCTGCTGTGTGAGTTCAAAAAAGAGACAGAATGGGAAAATATAGACTTGATCCCAAAGGCCAAAATAGAATAGAATAGAATAGAATCTTTGAAAATCCACAAAGGAAGCTGGGCAACCTTGGATGGCCGCAAAAACAAAGTCACGGGGCACAGAGCAAAAGCCAAGCACTGCCCTAGTCCCTCAGTTCTTTGAAAGGAGAAGGAGGGTCAGAAGCCAATTCCAGAAAGTACAGCAGATGACAGGCAGGCAGTCCTCCCCTCTGGACAAGCCCGCAGGCCTCTTTGGCCTCGAATCTGGTTGTGGTTTTGGGTGGTAGAACAAAGCTCCTGGCAGACAGGTTAGCTGCAGAGAGACACTCCTTCAGTTCCAGTAGATGACATGGCGAGAGCCCTAGCTGGGCACCATATTAAGTGAGAATCTATTATGAAAACTGAACAACTCCAGAGACTGGGTATCAGGGAATATCCACAAGTCGGAGAGCCTCAGTCTGTCCTGCTGTGAGAGAAGGCTTGGAGAGGCAATGTAGGGAGCCAGGAGGGTTGGCTGGATATTGACAAGCTCAAGGGTGCGGTTGTTGGGAAAATCTTTTTATACATTGTGTGATGATGTCTCTGTTTTATCTCACCTGTCTAAGACACCCTCTGATTGGCTGAAAAAAGAGCTGAATGTCCAAGAGCTAGGCAGGAGAGGATAGGCAGGACTTCTGGGGAGAGATAGGAACTCTGGGAAAGAATCAGAGGCAGGAGATTCACCAGCCAGATGTGGAGGAAGTCGGATGTACGATACTGAGGAGAACTAATGAGGCATGTGGCAGAATGTAGATTAATATAAATGGGTTTATTTAAGTTTTAAGAGCTAGTTAGGAACAAGCCTAAGCTAAGGCCAAGCTTTCATAATTAATAAAAAGTCGCTGTGTCATTATTCAGGAGCTGGCAGATCAGGCTTGGAAGTGCATAGGAGAGCTATCCTTGCTCTTGGTGTCTGGGAATAGCTCTCATAAGCTGAGAATAAACCTGGAGTTTGATAGCTCTGAGCCTGAGGCCGGAAGGCACATCAGGTCTCTAGTCTATCTGTCCTTCACTGCCATTAAGCTCAAGGATTCCGAAGAGATGGCATCACCTATGAGGTCCAAGTATGGGGGCAGGTCCTCTGGTGTTGCTGATCTTAGTGCTAGTCTGGCTTTTCACATTCCCAACACACTGGGAGACACCCCTCAGCTAAACATTAGCCATCCCAGGAGAAAGGACAGCATGGGGAGCCTAAGAGATTCTGTGCAGCCACAGACCACAAAGCTGACTGTGGACAGAAGACGCCCCTGATACAGGAAGAGGGAAACCTGCCCCTGTGAAGACAGCAGTGGCAGACGCAGACTCATGAACAACAAAAACCAAAGGAATGACCGGTCCACAAGTTCAGCTGACCCTCAACTCCATATAGTTGCCAGCCTCCAACTCTGGAGGACAAAGAAACTGCTCTGACACTTCATTTTTTCCCTAAATATCTAGCCGGATTTTTACTGCATTGATCTTTACAGTTTTTATGATTTTGTTGTTCATCTTCATTTGTTCATTTAATCTGGTGACACATTTCCTTGTATGTTTTAGGCAATTCATTTCCTTTTCATTAGTTTCTTTTTTCATTTTGTCCCTATGTTTTCTCTTTGCCTCCTATAAATTAGTAGTATTTTGATCTAATCTTACTGGTTTTAAAAAACTCACATTTTTATTTTACTCCTGACATTTACTAATTTTGTTTTTGAGCTTTTTTCATGATTATAAAATATTTCCTTTTCAAATTTTCTTTCTCTTTTTTCTTCTCCTCCAAAGATTATTCTCCACTTTCCTTCTTTCTCCTTTCTTCTCTTTAGCCTTAGTTTTCCATTTTTAAAATCCCCCTTCCTTGTCTCATTTCTATATCTCATGCATTTACTATTTCCACACTTACCCTAAATCAATCTCTATCTATATATAGATAGACAGACAGATGATAGATCCATAGATAGATAGGTGATAGCTAGATAGCTACATAGATGACAGGTAGGTAGATAGATAGATGATAGATAGATAGATAGATAGATAGATAGATAGATAGATAGATAGATAGATTGATAGATAGATAGATAGATAGATAGATAGATAGATAGATAGATAGATGGTAGATCCATCCATAGATAGGTAGATAGATAGAGGATAGCTAGATGTCCAAGGCTGGCCTTGAACTTGTGACTTCTGTACTTCAGCTTCCCAAGTTTTGGGATTGCAGCCCATGCCACTACAACTAGCATCATAATATTTTTGAATGTATTAAGTGCAGATAAAAGATAGAGTTTTTGTTTTCACGTGACAGTGTCTTGCTATGACCTAGCCCTTGCTATCCTGGAGTTTACTATGGAGAGCAAGGTGGTCTCAAACTCATAGATTCACTTCGCCTCTGCCTCCTGAGAGCTAGGATTAAAGGTGTGTGCCTCCATCCACACCTAGCACAAAGGTAGTATTTTTAGATTTCTATATTGTTCCTAAAAACATGACAGAAAACAATTGAACATAAAGAACAAAATACACACCCTACAAAAGATTAGTATCCAACCTACATGGAGAATTACAAATGAGCAGGCCAAAGATAAAAACCCAAAAGAAAAACAGAGACTATGACTAGGTAAATCACAGAAGACGGAACTCAGCTACATACCAGACATTTATAATGTTTAACCTCAGTAACAGTCAAGGAAACATAGAATATGCCATTTACAACAGCCATATTGGCAAGACAATTATGTGGCTAATGACATGAGATTTAGTGGCAAGCATATGGGAAAATAGAAAACCATGCATGATTGGTACAAATGTAACTTAGTAAATTATTGTGTAGAGTAGTGTCATAATATCTAATTTAAATTGGTGGAATGTCAATCTATGATCATATGTAATAGAGCAACTCATGTACACACACAAAGATGTTTATATACACATATATATGTGCATGTACTTATGTATAAATATGCATGTTTGGAAGAAAAGGTCAGTGCAGCAAAAAGAACCAAGAGTAGAGCACATGTATATACATACACATTCACACCCACATATACTTGCATATGCATGCACATACATGCATCTCTAGCTCAAGCATACTAAGTCTGAAATGCTCCAAAGTCTGTAACTTTTTAACCATTGACATGTCGATCTGCACATGCTAAGTTGCATATCTAACCTCTGATGGGTCAGTGTATACATGTTTTGTTTCATGTATAAATTACTGAAAATGTTGACTAAAGGCATTGTCAGGCTAGGTGTATATGAAACATCAGTCAAATTTATATTTGTATTTGAGTTCTACACCCGAGATATCTCACTATTCATATATAAAGACTTTAAAACATGAAAGAGATTTAAATTCTGAAATACGTCTGCTCTCTAGACTTTGGGATAAGAGATATTCAATCTGCAGTATGATATAAATGCTATATATAATATATAGTATATAGTAACATCTGTAATGTTGTCTAAAACATTATAGTTAATATATAATATGTACACATATATCTTCAACCTCGTCATAAGTTAAAAGTAAATACTGGCAAGTAATTTCCAGTCTCCTCTCATAAGGATGCCTACTAACCTCCTCTCTACGGAACAAGGGTCCTTTCAGGGAACGTGTAAAGCTCATCTTCAGTAGGGAATGCAGTGAGAGCTGTGAAAAAAATCTTTCTTTTGAAAAATAAATCTTTCATCACGTAGGGCAGACTGTTAACAAGATATAATTTGTGCGCTAACTACACAGACAACTATTAAATATCTATTTCTTTGTGTTTTACATCTTTTAGAGCTGGACTTCGTAATGTGGGAATGCACAATAGGAACACCAATAATTATCGAAAGAACAGAAAATAAAATGCAAACCGGGGGAAGAGCTAAAAAGCCAGCCATGAAAGGTCATGACGTAACTAAGGCAGAGAGAGCACTGGGAGAAACAGGAGCTCAGCCATGGTTGGGTAAGAAGGACTCTCCCTCCTTAGAAAAGAGTTAACGTTTAGCCAACATGTTGCACTCACTAGTGCTGAGGGAATGTCATAAAACACGTTGTTCTCAAACCCAAACTAGAATCAACTGGCTTTGGAATGTCATAACCCCACAGTGCTAGCCGCACTGGGCAGTAGCAGCGCAAATCTGAATTATGTGTTTGTGGTTACCCCCGCCTTGAGTCCTAAGAAAGTTCGCCCCCTGTCCTTGCAGAGTTCAGTTACCAGCCTTATGGACTCACAGGTTTCTTCCCAGCCTGAGGCTGCCTGCCCAGGACACTGAATGTTCCTGCATGCATCGCTGAAAACAAACAGGGGCTCGGGTCACTGGAAAGGTGAGGACAGCCAGCAAGCTGGTGAGGAGGTCACAGAAACAGCCTCTGGCTGTGTGTCTCCGACTCACCTGTCAGTGTCCTGCAGAGAACAGAACATGCCGCAGGTGGTGTATTGAACCAGGCCTGGCTTTTGACACGAAATCTCAGGAAGTGTGCTCCAGACACGAGTTAAACATCAGGTGCCCAGATTTTAAATCGAAGGTCGATTTAAAATCTGGCGATAAGCTGATTTTGAAGTCAGCTTTCCTATCGGGCCTTCCTTTTAATGGGACCGTTTGTTTTGTCAGTGCCCGGAGGACACATATCCACCATGGCCCAGCCATGGCTTCTTTTTCTGTGAGTTGAGGAAATTCTTGTGACTCCCAGGGTAAAATGTTGCAAAGACTACCCCAGAATTCAGATCCTTGTAAGCGAAATCCACGAGAGTCTGGGTGTCAGGGTTTTATTAAGAATGAAATGGAGAAGTACACTCACGAACACAGGATATGGTAAATCCAGATGCAGAGTCCCTGGAAAGCTGGGGACAATCACACAGTGCTTCACCACCCATGGGAGAGCTCACCCCTGGACTCCCTCAGCTCTTAAAGGGCCACTTCGGCAGAGGGAAAGCCACGCCCTAGGGTTTGCACCCCCAAAGCCATCAGCAGAGTGGGTTCCCACAACAGATCCTACTTCACCTTGAGGAGCCTGAGTAAATAAATTCCTGTTGTTTGCAGTCTTTGGTCTGCTGTCCTTGACAGATTGTTACTGACAGAGTGGGCAGGGCTTCTGTGATTTGTATTATTACGGGAGTTCCATCGCCTCATTCAGCACCTCCTAGCTTCAGCTTCCTATCTGAAAACTGGAAAAATAGTAATAGTTATTTCACAGGGCTGTTATGAGGATTAAGTGAGAGGTGGCATAGAAACCGCCCAGGCCCCAGCCCAGCCCAGGGGGATCTGAGGCAGGCACCCCCCCCCCCCCACCAGTCCTTCAGATTTCCATTCTAGATTGAATGTGGTTATTATTTTTGAAAGTGGTCATTTTGAGCTTAGTAAAAAGCTTTAAAATTTGATTCCCTACCGCTATTGATTTCAAATACCATGCTTGTTTCAGGCAGATTAACTTTTTTTTTTTTTTAATCTTTCATACCCTGTGCCTCATACTTCCTTTCTCAGAACGTGAGAACAGAACAGCCTGGAAACACGAAAGCCCAGCCTGTTCTGAAGGCCAGCATTTTCAGTCTTAAAAGGTCGCTCTGTTGACCATGCTAGATGGGGTTCTGGTGATACCGCCTTTTGAGCTGTCTGCCAGTTTTCTGTGCTACTGTGTGTGCATTTAATGGTCCATTAGAGCACAGGAATTAAAAAACAATATTTACTATGCATGAATGTTTGCCTGAATGCAAATGCAGTGCCCTGTGCTCACAGAGGCCGCCTGAGGGCGTCAGATGTCTGGAACTGGAATTACAAATGGTTATGAACTATTCTGTGGATGCTGGGAATTGAATCTGGGTCTTCTTCAAACATAGCAAGTGCTCTTAACTGCTAAGCTGTCTTTCCAGCCCTGAACACAGGGTATTTCAAATTTGGCCTCACTCTGAACTTGTGATTCCTAGTAAGGAAAGCCAGCCAAGAAGCCAGGGTAGTTGGGAATCACACTATGTTCATTTGATGTTGCTAGAACAAGCCTTTCCTCTCCCTTCTCAACTCTAAGCATAATCGACTGTGTTTTTCATCAGTCTGACCTCAGTATCTGATATAAACAGCTTATGAAGGGAAGTGCTTTAGTCTGCTCACAGTTTCCATGAATCATGGTAGGAAACACAAAGGCTTTATTCACGATGGTGAAAGCACTTTGCACAGGTTGCTCAAAACGGTCCACGAAGAGGAAAGCAGAGCAGGACCTGAGCCAGGCTATGTGACCTTCAACGGTCCATCCCCAGTGATCTGCTTCTGCCAGCTAGGCCTCCCCAACTGAAAGCTCCATATCCCACCCCCACAAGAAAAAGCAGCACTAGCTTGGAGACCAAGCATTTAGATCACGAGCCTGGAGAGGGGAGGCTGGAGAGATGGCTCAGTGGTTAAGAGCACTGACTGCTCTTCCAAAGATCCTGAGTTCAATTCCCAGCAGCCACAAGGTGGCTCACAACCATCTATAATGGAATCTGATGTCCTCTTCTGGCCTGCAGGTATATATGCAGACAGAGCACTCATACATGAAAAATTAATTAAAAAATACATGAGTCTGTAAAGAACATTTTAGATTCAAAACAAAATATCCCTTTCCTGGTCTTCAAAGACTCCCATAATATAAAGGATGACCCTAGCTGAGACTCCTAGCAATAGTGGATAGGTAGCCTGAACTGGCCATCACCTGTAATCAGATATTAACTACCCAATTACCATCAAAGAGCCTTCATCCAGCGACTGATGGAAACAGATTCAGAGATCCACAGCCAAGCCCTGGGCCGAGTTCAGGAATCCTGTTGAAGAGCAGGAGGAAGGATTGTATGAGTCAGGGGGTCAAGGTCATCACAAGGGAACTCTTAGAAACTACTAATCTGGACTCATAGGAACTCACAGACTCTGGACTGACAGCTGGGGAGCCTGCATGAGACTGACCTGGGCCCTCTATATACATGTGACCGTTGTCTAGCCTGATCTACTTGGGAGACTCCTGGGGGTGGAAGCAGAGCCTGTCCCTAACGCTTTGGCTGGCTTTCAGGAACCTATTTCTCATACTGGGTTGCCTTGCCCAGCCTCTTAGTACAGGGGGAGGAGCTTGGTCCTACCCAACTTGATATGCTGTGCTTTGTCGGTCCCCATGGGAGGCCTGCCCTTTTCTGAATGGAGACAGAGGAGGAGTGGATGGGGGAGGGGCAGAAGGGAGGTGGGAGGAGGGAATGAGAAGAGAGGAGGGAGGGAAAACTTCAATCCTAATGTAAAATAAATGAATGCATTTAATAATAATAATAATAATAATAATAATAATAATAATAATAATAATAATTTTTAAAAAGCACTTAAATACAATGAGGGAGCCCACAAAGGTTTCCTAGTGAGATCTGAGCTTGCTTTACCAGCAGGACTGCATAAGAGGATGATTGGACCACGGGCCTGGGTACCAGGTGTTTGGAAGGGTCTACACTTGGTTGTATCTAGCAGGGGGAGGTCTTTTGCCTCGACCCTTGGCATTGTTAGAAAAAGCCCTTTTGAATAAAGTTCTGGGCCGGTGAATTTTGACCCAGGTCCTCCCAAAGCTCTCCTGTGTTTCTGTCTGTCCCATCTCTGCTATCTTTCTGTCTACTAATTCCTTATGCCTCTCTCCTCCTCGTTGGAACCCTGTAAAAGGTGGGGGCGGGCCCTTCACAATACAGCTTAAAGAGGCCCCGTAATTTTAACAGTTTCAACACTGTTTAAATGTCAGAGTTCAAATTCTTTTCTAAGGTTCAAGAAGAACACTGTATCAGTGAGCCTGTGTAAACTAGAAAGACTATTTTTCCAATATACAATGACATGGAGTGACCTTTTCTATTTTAAAATGAAGGAACAGGAGACTAGCAAGGAAAGGCTAGACCAACACAAGACCAAAGCCTAAAAGGGAAGCGTTAAATCCTGGAGCTTTCCTGACTGTCATCCTGGGAATGTGAAGATGTGATGTGAGCTCCAGTGGGCTTGAATGACCCTGGAGCCTAGCTGCTTGCACTCCACAGGCCTTTCTGGTGGGCTGACTCCGCCCAGTTTCTGGAGTTCTCAGCAGATGTTCTACCCTCCTGGCACTTCCAACTTCTTGGTATCTCCACTACAGCCTCCCAGGCTCTTCCTGCTGGGAATCTGAGCCTGTGTGCCTTGTCTGGAATAGACTTTCCTTAAAGATCTTGGTGCAAGCCTCCATGACCAAGTAATTCTCAGTTCTGAATGTTTAAAAAAAAAAAAAAAAACAGTCCCATGTGGCCAACACGAAGTCACTACTAGCTGGAACAATATCAGGACCCTCTTGAAGCATGGCTGCAGTGGGTCACTGAATGCCTGGGTGGCTGGGTCTCTCAAGAGTCTTGTAGAGCATGTTTCCTACCGTTTCAGGGCAAATCACCTGGATTGTCGCTCATGACGTTCATCTAACCCCTGACTCTTTTAAAAATATTTTTCTCCTCCACATTTTGTTCCAAATTTTCACTGTAAATTTACTTTAAAGTAGTCACAAATACCTAGGTCATAGATTGCACTTTGTGCTGCCTTGAGATTGCCTTCACCAAAGTATTTACCTTTGAGTTCAGCCTCACTCAAAATGTTAGAATATAGACAATGTAGATAAATAGTTTCCAGAATGGAATGCAAATGTCAACTAGTCCAGTTCCCAACGGAGTCCTTTGCATCTGAAGTCTTTTGAACCTGGCCCTCACTGCCCACATTTTCAGCAATCTGATACTATGAGCTTCAACAACTGCCCATTAATCTTTGATAACAGCATTCTAAGGGTTTCCTGGTTTGCATCCCCAAACTTCAGATTCTCAAGAGTTAGTTCTAAAGGTCTAAAAACCACATGGTTAGGCTTCCTTACGACAATAAAAACCACTTCTTTGGTCCCAAATTTCTATATTTGTCTCTTTTGTGTCACTGTGATCCCAATGCCAGACTAAAATAACAAGAGGGACAAAGATCTGTGTGGGCTCATGGTTTCCAAGAGTTTTGGGGTATCGTGGCAGCAATGGCATAGAGCGGCAACTTAGTTTATGGTTGTGGGAGAGAAGTGCTGGAGGCTGTTCCCATCATGACAGACCAGAACTCAGAAAGTCACCCCTCTAATGGCTTCCCTCCACCAGTGAGGCCCACCTCCTAAATGTTCAGTAGTCTTTCAAAATAGTGTCATTAGCTGGGGACCAAGTGTTAAAACATGAATTTGTGGGTGATGTTTCATTTTCAAGTCATAACACACATGTAGGATAGAGGACATGCTTCTACCAGGTGGCAGGTATGACACTTCCCATGCGGAGTCTCCATGTACCTGGAAACAACTTCTGTGGGATGGTTGGCGACAGTCAAGCCATTCTTATGCATCAGTGTTCACATGACTTGAAACTTGCTATTTTTTTTAAATGCTTTCGATTTATTTGTGTGTGAATGTTTGTCTATGTGCATGTATATATGTGCATCATGTTTGCCTGTATCTACAGAGGTCAGACAAGGAGATTGGGTCCCCTGGAACTGGAGTTACAGATGGTTGTGAGCTACCATGTGGACATTGGGAACTGAACTTGGGTCCTTTGCAAGAGCAGCCATTGATCTCCATCACTGAGCCATCTCTCTGGCCTCTGAAACTTGTTCATTTATTTACTAGTTTACACCCTTGTCCCAAGAAAGATCCATTGTTTATAGATATAATATATGAATATAATTCTAGAAAAATGAAATTTTATAAATGAAGAAGTGTTAAGTCCTAAAGGAAACCTGTACTTTATAACTTCATAGAGATCCTAAATGTCAGTGTTCTATGGGTCTTGAAAAAAAATCTATCACTGTTTTGGTTTGTTTGTTTGTTTATTTGTTTTTCAGAAACAGAGCTTCTCTGCGTAGCCCTGGCTATCCTAGAACTAACTTTGCAGACCAGGCTAACCTTGAACTCACAGAGATCTGCCTGCCTCTGGCTCCCAAGTGCTGGGATTAAAGGAGATTGCTACCACCATCCACCCCTATCATTATTTTTTATTTCTTAATCACAAACAGAATTATGAAGACTTTTCCAACATGACCATGAGTTATCATTGACAGGTTGAAATCTTGTGGGAGGATTGAGAAGTGCTGGAATCCTCCCCAGAGTCCCAACATGGGTTGGCCTCCACAAGACCACTCTCAATAGTAACTTTTTCATGGTAAAGGCTTCATCTACCACCACCCTGCAAGGCCTTGCTCAGAAGTCAAACACAGACAACCTTGCATTGTTACAAAACAGCAGAGAGACGAGTACCTTGAAGAATGGTTGCATGATGCTTTTATTTACCAGTGCTATGGAATAATCCTTTTACACACTATACATATGTATTACTCTAATTGGTTTTATAAAGAGCTGACTGTCCAATAGCAAGGCAGGAGGTTTAGGTGGGAGACCCAAACTGAAATGAAGGGTGGAGTCACCAGCTAGATGCAGAGGAAGCAGGAGATGAATATACTGTGCTGAAAAAAGATACCACCATGGGGTAGAGCACAGATAAGAAATATGTGTTAATTTAAGTTGTAAAAGCTAGTTAGTAACAAGCCTAAGCTATCAGTCAATCATTTGTAACTAATAATAAGTCTCTGTGTGGTTATTTGGGACAGAGCTGACTGGCAGGACAGAGAAAGTGTGCCAACAATCAGGTGTGTAATTCTTTGTCTGACAATAACTATAATGGATGTGATCAATTTGAAACATCACTAAGATTTTTTTCTTTCTGTGTGCACGGTTGTGTTAATGACTTTGTGTGACTGTGACTACAATAGCAAAGAATCACAGAGGAGTGATTCATTGAGGCTTACAGTTTCAGAGAGTTTGAGTCCGTGTCTCTGGAAGGCATTGTGGAGCAGCACAGCCCGTAGCACCCATAATTTGTAGCAGAGGCCGGTTTATGTCCCAACAAATCAGAGATGGAGGCAGATATCAGAGCTTGAGTTGGGTTTACTTCCACCAGTGAAGCCCCTCTCCCTGTTAGCAGACCCTGCCCAAACTGCACATTCAAATCATGAACCTGTTGAAGGCATTTCCAGCTCAAACCACAACAATGCCCCCTTTCCTGTCCATATTTCCATTTATGGGAATTACAGGAGAGAATTGGGATTCTTTGAGTGGGACTTTTGAGCCCCTAGTGGGGTGATATACAAAAAAAAACAAGGATTTTAAGCATTGTTGTGCTTCTATCAACACATCAAAACCAAGGTCTGGTGGACTTGAAACTGTTGATTACTAACTAGAAAGTAGAGAGAATTCAGGATATGGCAGTGGAAACACACAGGCAGGAAAAAAGAAGTCGAGGGGGGAGCTCACCTTCTAGTTCAAAAGAAAGCAAACGGAGAAACACAGGAGTTACTGCTCACTCTAGGGGATGAATGTTAAGGGAGAGGAAATAACTACACATCCATGGAGCCATACCTCAGCCCACGAAGCCTAGAGCAGGGGGCCTGAATCCTTCCACCTGGCTCTGAAGAGGCTTCAAGGCAAGGAGAAGCTATCCACTGCATCCAAGCCACAGCCAGCACATTTAGAAAAAGCTTCATGGGCCACTAAGGTAGTGGTTCTCAACCCATAGGGTGAGACCCCTTTGGGGGGTTGAATGGCCCTTTCACAGGGGTCACATATCAGATATCCTGCATGTCAGATATTTATATTATGATTCATAACAGTAGCAAAATTACAATTATGAAGTAGTAACAAAAATAATTTTATGGTTGGGGGTCAAGGGTTGCAGCATTATGAAGGTTGGGAACCACTACACTAAGGCTAGAGAGCCTAGCTGTCTCTCAGAACCCATAGACTACATCTAAGTAGCCCCAGATTCCTCACAAAAGCCACAAACAACCCTTGACATGCCACCTGACCAAAAAGAAATCAAAGAATGGTAAAAGAGCCCTCTTCTTCATTGCCAAGAAATCAAGGAAACTCCTTCATACCCACATCACTCAATTATTGTCATCTTGAAGTGACATTAATAGTGTGTGGGAGACCAGCTCCCACTCCCCGCCCCCTTCAGGGTACTCTTGAGGAGTGAGGGATAAGAGATTTAGATAGACACATAGAGGAGAGAGAGACAGATGTAGATGTAACCAATCGTCTTATT